GTGATCGTAGTCTAGGGCCCACATTTGTGTCGGTATGCGAACGACAAAGGCTTTCCCTGCAAAATATACCCCGTAATTCTCCGCTTTTCCCCACTTGAGTTAAATGTTAGCTAGTTCTAATGCTTAACGTGAGCGTACACCGTAGAAGCTAGGACAAGTCTTTAACGGGGAGGACTCAAGGCTAACTGCTTGGCACTAGGGCTGGACATCATCGTCGTCGGGTAAAGTTCGGTAAAACTGACTCGGCTGTCTGATGAACCATGAATCATGACATCGGCTCGGTTTTTGTCCCCGCAAGTTACCCCGGGGAGGAAAAAACGTGGAGAAGGTTAGTACACCGGACTGACTCTAGCGGAAGGAATTTTGACCGAATAGAGACCGTTTCAAATCATAGCATCTGGTGCCTCGAGTTGCCGTTTTGGCAAGTAATTGTGAACGGCTCTGTTTGACAGAAGTATCAAGCAGCTACCTGCTGCATTTTCCAGACGTGACTTTTGACACTTCCTGTTGCTGTATGATACATTGCACATCTGTTACATTTTCATTATGGCTGAGCCTACAAAACTTCGGTTTTGCGAAAGTCGACCCCGAGTGTTCATAATCTCCGATATCTCGAACGAGCCCGACGACGATGAGTCTCTGGTCAGATACCTTCTCTATAGCAATGAATTCGACACCAGAGGAATAGTGGCGTGTACATCATGCTGGCTGAGACAGAAGGTTTCCCCGGAGAGCATGGAGAAGATCGTACGGGCCTATGCTAAGGTAGTCGACAATCTTAACGCCCATGTTCATCCCAGCAACCCGTATCCCAGCCCCGAATATCTGCTTTCTGTCATCAAGAGCGGTCCTCCAGTGTACGGCCGTGCCGCGCTTGCACCCGACGTACCGCTCAGCTCCGGAGCGCAGCTTCTAGTGGAACAGCTCAAGGCTTCAGAGGAACCTCTCTGGGTGATTTCATGGGGAGGCGCGAATGTCCTCGCGCAGGCGCTTCAGCATATACACCAAACGTGTTCTGCGACCGAGAGTGCCGTGCTACGGTCGAGGTTGAGAGTATACACCATATCCGACCAAGATGACACAGGGATGTGGATTCGAGTTACATACCCGGACATCTTCTACATCTGCTCTGTACATGCGTGGAAGGAGTACGCCATGGCGGCGTGGATTGGTATATCCGGGGATGCGCTTGTGCCATTCGATGAAGGGGGACCGGACGTCACGAAGGTGACGAAAGAGTGGCTTCGAGAACATATTCAGATCGGGCCCTTAGGGGAAGCGTACCCAACGTACTCTTTTATTATGGAGGGAGATACACCGACATTCTTATATCTCATTCAGAACGGGCTAGGGTCCCCAGAACATCCGGAATGGGGAAGCTGGGGTGGCCGTTACGCTCTCGGTGACATTGGAGGCGCTTCGAAGCATTACGCTGATGCCCGCGACACAGTGGCCGGCAAAGATGGAAAGTCTCATACTAGCAACCAAGCAACTATCTGGCGCTGGAGGGATGACTTTCAGGATGACTTTGCGGCGCGTATGCAGTGGAGCTTGGGAAGCGACAGATCACAAGCCAATCACGCCCCTATTGCCATCGTGAATGAAAGCACTGCGGGACCCGAGCCATTGTTTTTAGAGCCTGTTGCGGGATCTGAAGTACTTCTGGATGCATCACAGAGTTACGATCCAGATGGTGATGAGCTCACATTCACCTGGTTCTTTTACAAAGAAGTGACGTCGGCGCAACAAGATGTTCAGTGGATAGTTCCAGACCTGCAATGGGACGTCGTTGAGGATGCTCAGAAGCCTAAGGGAAGTGTCATTCGTGTGAAGATTCCTCCACCGGCGGAGTGTGCGGTTGATCTCGTCAATGGCAAAGCTCTGGAGAAGGGCCAAGCCTTCCACCTGATTCTTCAACTGGAAGATAATGGAGTCCCCAGAATGACTACATATAAGAGGGTTATACTGCAAACGACAAACCCTGAGCTGCTTGGCGGAAGTGGGAAGGCCTTTTCCACATTCACCGAGGTTGTAGAGTCTCGTGGCGAGATATAACTTGGTAGAAAAATCAATTATGGACAAGAGACTGCAAGTCAACGAGTGGTAGCCTCACTAATTCCTTTGATGAATGTGGCCTTCTCGATGATGTTGACGAATTATAATAGATATTTGTTACTTAGACACCAGCTATAGACAATAGATCAATTACACCGCTGCTTCTGCCATTCAAATGCGATAATTTCCTCAGAGTTACACATAGAGGTATGTCTATCACTTCTAGAAAGCACATTGCACGTGAAAGAAGACTTGGTTCCATCTTTCTGGGTTCGAACAACCTCGACAGGCAATGAACTCATTGTCCGACAACAGATCTCCAATACCCTAAAGGCTGTCGTAAACCTCGTTCACTAAACCCAAACCAGCGTGGTGAGTCGCTTCGCAGAACCATGGTCTCTTCTAGATCTCCTTTTTGAGCTTGGTGGCTTAAGGTAGTGGGTCCTTTTCCAACTGGAAGATTTGAAACGACCCATCGGTTCCAGAGACGGCAGTTGTAAGCGTCCTCCTCCCTTCCCCAGATTCTCCCCGGGAAATCTCCATAGTCTCACTGTTTTGATATAATATGGGATGGCCTCTAGTACTTACAGGGATTATCATCAATCATCTCTGCTTGTCGTCTCTTCAATTGCATAACCACCATGTCGGAGAAGGCTGAGGTCGAGAAGGACATTGTTAACCATATCGAAAGTATCCCGGGGAACAATGCAGTCTCCTCGACCAATGAGAATGACACTTGGAAGGAACTATGGCAGAACAGGAGGGTGTTGCTGTGGTGTATGTTTGAACCTCTTTGGCTCTATCCGAGTAGACCCGTCTAGGATGAGATCGAAGGGTCCCTAACATAGTATACAGGCCTTCTCATCTTCCTGCTTCCAGTCAACTTCGGTTACGAAAATGCGATGATCGGAAACTTGTTCGCTTCTAGTGCCTTTCAGCTAAGATTCGGTGTGGAGGTCAATGGCAGTTGGGCTGTCGCAGCTCGGGATCAACAGATCCTTAACGCAGCTCCCACTATCGGTCTCTTTGCTTCGGCGCTGGCCACCGGTTTCCTTTCAGACTTCCTTGGCAGAAAGAAAGTGGTCATCTTGGCCTGTATAATTTGCATCGGTGGTGTCATCCTCCAATACTTCAGCGAGACAGTGATGATGCTTTTCGGTGGGAAACTGGTCGCATGCTTCGGATTCGGTCTGGGACATTCTCTAGGCCCCGTCTGGGTTGCGGAATTGGCGCCCAACTCGATCCGTGGCATCTGTCTTGCTCTAATTGTTCGTACCCATTGATGCTGAATATCCGGTTAGCCGCTAACTTGTGTTAGAACACCATGATCGTAATAGGACAATGGTTATCCTCTCTTTGCATCTACGCCGCCTCATTCAGAGATAACGACTTAGCCTGGCGGATCCCCCTGATCACCCAAATCATCATGCCCGGTCTCCTATTCGTCATCGGCCTCCCTCTCCTCCCCGAGTCGCCAACATGGCTCTTAATGCGTGGCCGAGACGAAGAAGCCCACAAGGCTCTCAAAAGGTTCAACGGCCCGAGGTTCGACGCCGACAGCGCACTGCAGATCATGCGCAACGCTTTGGAGATGGAGAAGAGCGCAACTGAAGCACAAAGCTCCACCAGCTATCTGGACTGCTTCCGGGGGCCCAACCTTCGCCGAACAACTATCATCTGCATGGTATACCTCGCGCAGCAGTTCCTTGGTGTCAACTTTGTGTCTGGCTATCTGACCTACTACTTCGACCTCGCTGGAGTGGGCAACGCCCTGGCTGTCGCTCAAGGCGCCTACGCTATCCAGCTATTTGGTAACATGTGCTCATGGCCATTGATTGAGCGAATTGGAAGACGTTCTATGCTTGTCTACGGCTCCATAATCATGACCGTCGGTCTCTTGATCATCGGCTGCATTAATATCAAGATCACCGATGCCTCACTCAAGGCCACAGTTGCTCTGATGTGTCTCTGGGGATGGTTGGTAAGTTACTCACTTACTCACTCCTAAATCCCCACCTCCACATTACATTGAATATAAAATCTAACAATCAATCCAGTACCAAGGATCCCTAGGAGCCGTCGCCTACGCCGTTGGTGGTGAAACTCCCACGCCCCGTTTACGACAAAAGACCTACGCTATCAATATCATGAGCGCAACCGCCGTTTCCTGCATGGTAAACCAGGTCCTCCCGTACCTGATTAATCCTGATAAAGCCAATCTGGGTGGCAAGATTGGGTTCATCTTCTTTGGACCTTCTGTTCTTGTCTGCATTTATCTTTTCTTCTGTGTACCTGAGATGCAAGGTCGCACTCCTGAGGAGCTGGAGGAAATGTTTACTGTTGGGATCCCGGCAAGGAAGTTCCGGACGTATGTATGTCAGGGTCAGAGGGTGGAGGAGACAAAGGCGGAATTAGCATAGAGACGACCGTTAGATTATTTCTAGTGCTGTTGTGTATAGTACGAATATACCCCATGTATATGTTAAGATATTGACAAGAAAGCAATCAATCACCCAGTTGAGATTTCATTAACTAGCTGGAGTTAAACAATTGAACACCTATGTAGTGATGTAAATTGAGCAGTTGTTCCCAGTGTATATTCCCTGAACACCGCCAGAGTGTTAGAATTGCATTTAGTGAGAGCGTGACCAATATCTAAGAATCCATTGTTGTTTTACTACGCAGTGTCCTGGGAGACCGATGGCATCAACAGTCGGACCTGTAGATTTCGAGGCGAATCTGTATTGGCCATATTACTCGGAGTCTTGGTATAATCCTTACCGAGCTTGATCTTGCGCGTTTCCATTGAAGGTCAGATAGAACGTGTCATGCCATAATTGAGCACAAGTATACCAAAAGATGCCCTCTTACTTTGCATAAAAGAATGAGACGTGATATTCATAAATGTAGTTATGCATAGACCTAAATACAGGGAAGGCCCAGCCTCAACCATTTCTTTCTCCCAGAGCCCATGGCATAAGAGGGCTACTAGTCGACTCTTTCTCTTCAACAGAGTCAGCAAGATAAATAGTGAGATCAGTATCTTCCTTTTCTCTCATAGACGAAGAGTCAGCGTCCGATAGGCTCCCTCCATTCTGCCGGCCAAGAAAGAACCGTGAACCCGCAAAAATTTTACGCCCACGAGACGTATCATTCGGATCTTCCCCTGATTGGTACCAGTCCAAGAAATTAGAGTCTGCCAGCAAACTCGCGACTGCTGCAATACTGGATGGACTTTTTGGTAGAATATGGTCCGTATTCACGAGGACAGAGCCTAGAATTCCCAAAATAAGTATAGATGCAAGTAGAGCATCTAGGATTCTTGTCGAGGTGGGGTCTTGAATCAGTCGGAGACGATTGTTTGTAAGTGTGATATTTCCTGGGAATAAGACACCCAGCGAATCATTCGAGAGACGAGTCATCCCATTAAATTCCTGTGCTCTCATGACCCCGTCTTGGAATTTGATAGCTTTGATAACATTCTCAACCTTGCCTATATCGCCAAGATAATCTCGTGGGATAGCCCACCTTCCTGACACCAGTGCTTGGAAGAAAGAATCCAGATTAGCTGCTGTCGAAGAGGTACCGCTCCACGGCGAGTACGGTATGTACTGGTCTTTAACTTGGCTGGCCGAAGACTCGTCCGGCACTGGGGGATGTTCGCCGGAGATATCAAAATCGGGCAGCTGAAAGCGAGTCCAGGTATTGACCGTCTCAGCTGCCGGGGCGCATGTCATGGCCACTACGTTCGTGACTGAGCCGTTTCTAACCTCACCCCAGAAGTAACTCACTGGCATGTTGGCACCACTGCTATTGGCGTTATAACACGGACTTAAGATGGCGAGTCCAAAGTACCCTTCAGTTTCGAGTTGGAGCAGATCACGGCTATCCTGAAGCCATCCTTGGCCATTGCTCCACGGTGCGCAACCTATGCGAGGGGGATCAATGTAGAGTACTTGAGATGTCTTGGAATTAACCGCGGGTTGTTCATCCGTGGCTTGTTGGAGTGTGTAGTTGACCTCAGAGCCTTTTTGTACAAGGCAAGATGGTGCTGTTCTCAGGGTAGGGACCCAAAGATCCACGAAAGAGTTTTCGGGGAGATTTGCTTTTAGGGAAGAATTCATTGAGAGCTTAGGATATACAAGCGTCTCATAGGTCCAGCGAGGAAATGAAGTTCGGTTCCCCTGGATGATATATTGGGCAGTGATAACGTTAGAAGCGTCCAGGTCGGGATTAAGGCTGGAGTTCCATATTCCAAAGCGGTCGAAGGTGTCTTCCCTCGTGAAGTTCGTGATGATAGATTGTGAGGTGTCCACCGCATTGAACAAACCGCTTGTTACAATCGATAAGAACGAGGTGATGAAGGCAGCGAGCGTCACAGCGAGGACAGCAAAGTGCCTGGTGCGGATGGAGCCGACAACGGTTGTAACGCTTAAAGAATCTAGGAAGTTGACTGTCATACATTCTTGGAATACTGCACCCGAGGGCCGCTTCAGGTGGGCATATGGAGCCAAGATTCGGCTATTGAAGCTCATGCTTCCGAAGGAGAGACCGATAATCTCCATGAGTAGCGAGGGTAGAAGTGTCCAGAGATAATGCATGTATTCATTGGCGGTGACATTAGCAAGTCCATCATTTGTCTCGGATATATGTAGAAGAACCTCTAATATCACGATTATTAATGCGACAGCGGCAAAGATGGTGACGCGAAAGATGAGACTGGGAAATGGTTTGGAATCGGCGCTGGAGCTAGGGCTGCTTTGTTTGTCAGTAGTGATAATATCACTCTGTTCATTTATACTCTGTTCGTCATCCACAGTGTCAATACGGAACCCTTCTGGACAGGTTCGGGAGCAATAGCGGCTCATTTTCAGACGACTCTGAAGAATATGTAGTGGCGATGCACTAGTCCGACTGAGAGACCGGCGAAAAGCTTCGCTGTTGAAAACGATTGCCGCAATTGCTGAAATAGAGTTCGGGTTCCAAGGAATCGATGTTGTAGCAGTAGGCGAAGCCAAAACGATCATAACAAGGGCGAGCAATATTATTATTGCCAAACAAACTTCCATCGCACGAAGTGGCAGCTGTGCCATGACGACACGGTTCTCATGAATAATGGCCGAGCCAGTTGTTGTCGAGGATCGTTGCCGGACGAGGCCATTGTTTATATACTGGGCAGCCATTGTGCGATAGTAGGCAGAAGCCACACGATTAAGCATATCATCTTGGAATAGAATATCAATATTACCAGTAGATCCTGCAAGCCACGCACCGATTTGCAGCGAATAATCAACGCTCATGTTTTTGGTAGCGATGAAGGGGTTGTTATCTTGGATAGGTCTCCAGATGGTATGACCTTTCGGGCCACTGAGAACACTACTCGCAATATCCCATGCCTCTAGGCCTAGGAGAGTGGAGTTCTTGGATCTTGTCCCTTTGATGTGCACGTTTGACAAAGACACGGACGCATTGTTTGTAGCATTCACCTCGAGGAGAGAATATGTCGGCTTACAGATCAACTGGACAGAGTCGTCAAGCACAATGTCACTTTTTTGTTGATATCCACGATTATAATCATCATAAGTGTGATTTGAAAACACCAAGCTTTCATGGACCTTGGCAATAGTCACAACAACGCGCATGCCGTCAGATTCCTTCGAACCTACACATTGACCCTGTTCAAACACTCCCACATAGGGAAAAGATGCACCATACCCGCCGTCAAGAGCAAAGTTTTCAATCTTGCAAGACGATGTGGAGATCTCGTTGGTCATGTTCTGGTGTGTGGCAGTGAAAGAGCCGTCCGCAGCCATTACTCCCTCCACTTCCCAATTCTTGATAGTGATATTGGCAGGTTCACAGCCCAATTGTGCCTTCATGCCGTCAATGGCGGTGGTCACAATTGCGTTCGAAGAAATGTTTGGAGCTGAAAATCTTTGAAAAGCAATATTGGCGGTAGTTCCTTCGGGATAGCCTCCGTTTTCGAAAAGCACACTATTGAGAGTGTCGAATGGCGTCGCTCCTTCAACATCAAATGTAGGGTTTTCACCGCTGAAATAATTAGACAACAAAATTGGAACATTATCTTTTTGCAACCCCACTTTTTGTAGTGAGAATAAACCAGTTGAGAAGATGATGAGAAGAGTCAGAAGCATAGAACCGGTAGCCCCTGCAGCTACTGCGAAGTGTCGGTTTCGGAGCGCCTTGATTACAGCAAATGGCTGTATTGGGGTAATATAATCCAGAAGAATACTTTTTTCTGCCACCTCTGGCCTCTCCTGCATTGACTGCCATGGAGCATGTTGTTTTACCTGGTATTCCGCTCGGCACCAGAAAGCAGCAACCACGGTAAGGATAGCAGTAGGGCCATAGGTCCACAGGTAGTGGCGACCTTCAACGGATGAAGCAATACCATAATTGACTTGAGAGATATGATTGAGCACCTCGAGGACCGCGATTATCCCACAGAATGCAATCACGAATATGAACAAAATTCGTCGTCGGAGATAGAATGGCCTCCAGCCAGAACTTTGTCTCGCGCTGTCTTGAGACCACTCCTTTTGACCTTTGGAGATACTGTTCAGCTTGGAATTCTGGACGAGTGTAATTATTTTTGACATGGCCCTGTGCTTTGCTCTTTTGAGTAAAGTGACTGGGTTGCTTGCGAGGACAGTTTGGGCTAGAAGTCATTTTTAAGGGTTTGGCCCCCATCGTGCATTAGTCGAAATGAGAGATCGTCGTCTAAATGCTGTTGTTTAGGTAACCTCAATGCAGTTAGCCTCCAGGAAGCCATAGCAAACTGCAGTGATAATTGGCCTTTTTCTGGGGGGCTATAATTAGGCCAGCCCGTTAGTTAAATTACAGGACTCAAGAAGGATCGAGTTCCTAGTACGCTCCTGAAACCGCAGCAAAGTATATAAGGAGCAAAAAATCGTTAGTCTAACCAGGTCATAATTTCATACGGGTGAATGAGATTCCCTACGTAACGCGGATATCGCGCAGCGTAATAGTAGCAACTGTGGCAGTTTAGTCCTCATTCCTCACGGGTCGAAAAGTATAGAGAATATGAATATGCTAAACCCGGCAAACTTTACAAGGGGGGGGGGGGGGGGGGGGGGGGGGGGGGAGGGGGGTTGTAACATCAGAATGTACTGGAGTTCATAAAAGGAATCTGAGTGATAGTGCATCAGCTGCAAGATGAAGGGCTTATTCCGTTAGATAGTATGGTACGGCAGGAGTACTATGAGTGTGCCAAAGACCACTCTAAGGCATGTTTATTGGCTTGGAGGACGAGTGTGGAAACGAACTATATGCCAACATGTGGCCATACCAGTGATTGGTCCTTATATACTCTCTTATTCTTATATATGACTGGTGTTTGCTCAAGGAACCCTTGTTAGCTTTCCATAGTTGCTGCCTTAGTTAAGCTGCCTGCCAAGCAGACTATACTTTTGAAGCATACTTTTATCAAGCCAAGCCTATACTTTTATTTGAATCATAAAACTTCTAGATTTATATCGCCACACGGTTTATGCTGAGGAAAGTCTAGATCAAGGGAATGGGATACCAGATTTAAATTATTTGTACATTAGGCGACTGCTAGTCCTAAGCACAATAAAAGTTGACATAGCAGTCAGGCGTTCCGTCGCTGTCAATGTCGCATGAGTCGATCATTGGGAAGAAGTCACTATTAGGACAAAGCGAGATGCAGCTTTTAGCACTTCCGCAAGGGGAATCGTCTATATCTTAGAGTGTTAGAAGCCGATTCTTGTGATAGTAGTTTTATCAGCGGTAGTTGGCAACTTGCATTGTGCTGAAACAAGGGCGGTTAGGCCGATGAGAACGAGAGAGCACCGAAGAAACATTTTCGGCTATTGAAAGGTTTAGTGAGCATAGCGCCAGTGTTGTACCAGGGAAGCTTACATATTAGGCTGCTGAGTAAAGCTTCGAAGTAGTTACAGATATCACTATTGAAATGCTCAGAACCCGTAAGGGGAGCGAAAATCGTACTTATAGGTCGGATCTACAGCTATCGCAGTCTACAAGAGCGCATATAACACAGTCTGCCAATAGCATGATCCTATGATTAGCAGACAGAGGTACATCTCAAGCGGGCCGGTTCTAGCTCGAATACAACATTCCGGCGCAACGTTATGACGTCCCGGAGGCTCGGGTTCCAGAACCACGGTTGAGTGGAAGACTAATTTATCTGGTTACGGCGATGAGACGTTGGCAAACCCCAAGATAGGCGAATGGAGTTACCGTCGCCTTGTGGAGATTTGGCGGTTATCCCATGTTACTCCAAGAGGTAAATCTTATTAGACAATATGGTTTCCGCATGCATCCAATGACTTGTTGATGATGCAGTAATGTTGACTCTGCGTAGTTGATGTCTTCTAGATTCTATCTGGAACCTCATAGTTCTCTTGGACTTTGGTATATGAATCAACACGCTATCGTCAAAGGCAAGGCATGAACGAACTTCACCGAGGATGCTGATATATCCTGTTCATGCGTTCCACTGATCTAAGTACTTATCCTGACGATGTTTTACTTTGCTGAATTGTCGAAGCTTGTCGAATATCATGGTTATGGGCTCTGTTAACCGCTCCAGGGTGTCAAATTAATTAATAAATAGAACTTCATGTTGAACCTTCAATCCCAATTTGTAGCGCAGCTATGAAAGCGCCCTTGGATTTCATTTTCTCCCTTTATTATAAAAATGGGCGGTGCGCCCGTTGTCGTTTTATCAGGCACTGTTAGGGTAAGTCGTTCTTTTACTCCGTAGATAGTGAGCAATATGCTTGTTTTCAATTGGGCTTCTTTCGAATAGCACACATAATATACCAGAAAGGCATGAGCGCTAAAAACGGCTATCTTGAATAAGAGGTTATCCAAAATCTATTTCTGGAGGGAGACTCCATAGTGCAAGGATGGTGATAATTCTGCTGCATACGGTTTGGAGGATATATGACGTTCACATAATTATGTATGACGTTTATAAATGTTGTTTTCTTTTCTTTTTCACACACATCGTTCTGCTTCTCTACCTTTGTTCCAGAGTTTTCAAAGCTTAATTTAGAGGGGCTTTTCACCATGATCCAGATCTAAACCCACTGCTTCAAGCACTCTTAATGGCTCGGTGCTGGGCTATCTGTCGAGTATCCTGACGTTGATGGCCAAGTTTAACTGCGCCCTTGGGCGATTGTCTATAAGAATGAACATCACTTTACTTGTGGATCCCATTCAATGACTAATTTCTTATTTATTTAATACTCTCACTTATAGGGTATACGTCTTTTCACGGCTTACATCGAGCACCACCAGTTTTGTGAGAAACTTTCAACTTTTTCTTCCCACTGGTATATCAGTATATCCCACCATATTGCTACTACTCTACTGCTTTATATAAGCTTTGACACACTTGACATCCCGTATACAGATATACTGTGCATAGAGGCTGGATCAGTAACGGTAGAGCTTCATCTACAGAATTTGATCTGCATAGGATCAGGTTGATTTCAATCAATCTGTCGTCCATTTTATACATAACCTTCAAAATTATAACAATATAAGCTGACCACGCTATTGCTCTACCCTGTTCCTCTATTATCCTTTCTTTTTGATGTATTATTAGAGCAAGCATGGTTCGGCACTGTTCTCAATAACAATGTATTGATTCGTGGCTTTGTGCTACTAATTTATCTATCCAAAAATCTATCTGTAAATGTATTTCCTGGAGCCAATGGTGTCTCCGGGTATATAATCACATAAAGTACGTGTTTTTGAGATCCACAATGGCTATCAATCCATACTAAGTAGCAGCCCAACTCTACTAGGTGTTCTTTATTCTGGGGTCAGTAGCTTTGACCCCAGCCTTTCCTTGTCTAAGCAACCATGCATGATCATTGGCTGTGGTCTGAGAAGTAGGGAAAATGTATAAATCCACTAAATAAGAGGGAAGAGAGATATCCAAAACAGGTATATAGCAGTTAGTGTCACGGGTAGGATTCCCGGGCCACGTTAAAGCTTGAGCGCTAACATACATACCGCGTGTGGGGATATCATGCCGTTCAGGGCCTGACATAGTGGGTCTTTTTGACAATTTAGTAGAATGATCACCCAGAGCTCAATCTATTTCAGTTAAAGTAGACAATGATCTTCTGTTACCCTAAATCTCTTAATAACGGCTCTTAAGTATCCCAAATGTGTCTTGGTGGGAATCCCCATAATTAGCAGCAACATTGTCCTACCATGAACCCTATTGCTTACAGTATATCAAGATCTACAGAGGCCTGATATTGTAATTCCTCTCAATGAGAAACATCAAAGAGATGAAGCCTAGCCTATGCACTATGTTAATAAAAGTCATGATCTGCGGTATTTCTGTGGTTCAATCGATACTCTAGAGTATTACGTAGAATATTTAGAAGTACTGTATTTTACTGCTAGAGTAGGTGTTTACTATGTCCGAGTTCGTATATTCAATTTTATGTCTTTGTTCGATGAAAAGCATAATATAAAACGGAAAACTAGCAATCAGGATCTATCTTTATATAATCAATATCTGTTACTCGGGAAAGAAAGGGGATATAACAATCCTAGTAAAAGAGGTACGACAAATATTATCTCATGTTTCCGCGCTTGTATAGCTCCGTGTGATAGTTTCTAAAGAGAGAAGCTAAATCCTCTTTTACTCAGGACCATGCAGGCTCACTATATCCGACTAAGGCAACGATTTAATCGCAATTGCAATCCACACATTTGGTTGGGGGTAATCGGAACGGAACCATGAACCTGGCTCACCCGACATCCGAACACCGAGTGTCCCAGGACCCACTGTCACGAACGCTATGTAATTATTATGAAGCTATGCCGGTTCGGACCTGTGTGCGAATGGCTGGATGACGGAAAGCTTTACGGTGGTCCGAAACGATGCGCACATACCCCTGACGCACGATGATCCACGAGGGATGCCACGGGATTAAACCATAGTTTCGCATGCAATTTGATCCTAACACGCCGCATCCTACTGTACAACGCCACATTTACCATGATAGTGTACTGGTCAACTTTGTTTAAACGCTATGCAGCTATTAGAATCTAACACTTCAGAGGTGGACCCAGGATTTACGCTGTGGAACCTTGACCTCACTGCACATTGCTATAGTTGATGCCGACAGCTCGATTCTATGTGTACAACAGGACAGTCTGAAAACACGTAGCGCCCTTGTGAGGTATTAATTCAGATACGTGTGATTCATAGAGACTTCACGGCTCAGTAAGCCGTCCTTCGCCATGTACGTTCAATAGCTCAAGGAAGCGATGCATAAGCTTTCCGAGCTTGATCTTGGCTCTCACCTACAGAGCTTCTACGGTTTTCATGAAATGGAGAATATCCACCTGCTTGCAGAGGACTAAAGAGCCGGATCTCCTTCTCAGCTAAAGGGCCGGATGTAGCCCGGGATTCACACATCGGTCCGATGGTCGAGACCCATGGCTAACCTAGAATAAAGTGCCTCGTCAATATGCCAGTCTCATTAATACCAGATGATAGCTGGAGCTCCATATATATTAACGATCATATCTTCCCTCAATTCAATGCATTTACTCCAACACCCATCGGCCTTCCAATACCAGTGGTATCAAAGAGAAACGAATGACCCTACCTCCGGAGAGATTGTTTGTTCGATAGCATAGACGTATTACCGATAACATGTCTACGAGTGATCCTAAGGTTAGTGTTGAGCATGCCAGTCATCCAGCCAAGATACGTGTGTAATGCGCTTTGGCGGTCGTTGATACTCACGGACATCGATCAACCAGGATGAGACTAGCCCTGTGCCGAAAGACCTACCAATTTACCGCCAGAAAGGACGTGGCCTTGGTGTGGCCTTCAGGAACATAACCGTTCAGGGCCGTTCCGGCAGTCAACGGACAGTTCTCGACCTCCCCCAAATCCTCTTCGAGGTTATTAAGGCCCCATATCAGACAGTACGCCATAGGATTGGTAACAAACCCGTTCCAAAACGCAATCTTATTCAAGATGTCTCCGGCGTTCTGTTTCCCGGAGAAACAATGATTGTCCTCGGACGGCCAGGCTCAGGGTGTACGACACTATTGAAAGTAATCGCAAATAACCGCAATTCGTTTATGGCGGTCAATGGAGATGTACAATATGCTGGTATCCCAGCTCGGGACATGACTGGTGCACTGAAGTCTGAGATTATCTACAGTTCTGAGGACGACCTACACTTCCCAACCCTCCCGGTTAAAGATACCTTGGACTTTGCTTTGAAGCTGCGACGGCCCAAAGATTACCCAATGGAAGATGGTCAATTCTCGTCTGACTATACCAAACGATTGCTGGGCTCACTTGGGATGCTCCACACGTCAAATACTATCGTAGGAGACTCGTTCACTCGAGGCGTTTCAGGTGGAGAGCGCCGCCGTGTTTCCTTGGCAGAGTCTATGGCCGTTAATCCCGCTCTGGCATGCTGGGATAACCCGATTCGCGGCCTTGATAGTTCATCAGCGTTGGATTTCCTTGCATTGCTCAAAGAAATGTCTGGGGTGACAGGAATGAATAATGTGGTTACTTTATACCAAGCATCAGAAGCCATGTACCGGAACTGTTTTGACAGAGTCATACTTATGTATGATGGTCTGATGATCTTCAGTGGAAAGGCTGGAGAGGCAAAGCAGTATTTTCACGACCTGGGATTCCATTGCGCGGATCGACAAACAACCCCAGACTTTCTAACGTCTATTACTTCCCCCGCTGAACGAACTATTCGAGAGGGCTACTCCGGCCCTCTATATCTTGAAGCGAAGTCCCTCGAACAGGCTTTCAGACAGAGTCCGTATTATACTCGGTTGCAAGCGGAACTGACTCAATATTCAGATCAGATACAGTCAAATACAGAAGTCCAACGCCAGTTTCGACAAAGCGCATTGGAGATTCGTTCCAAGATGACCACAAAGCGCGCTGTAGAGATTTCATCTCTCTGGAAGCAAGTCACAGAGGGGACTCAGAGATACTACAGACTATTTTGGGGTGACCGCAATACCTTTTATACCATCCTGGCTCTATGTATTGTGAACGCTGTCATCACTGGATCGGGATTCTACGCAGCTCCGAAGACTGCTTCAGGATCCTTCGAGAGAAGTGGAGCTCTTTTCTTTGCTCTTGCCTACTTTTGTTTGAACGCTTTGACGGAGGTAGTCAAGACGGTGAATGCACGATCTATCTTACTCAAGCAGCATAACCTGGGCCTAATAAGCCCTACTGCATATGCCATTATTCAGACGGTTGCTGATATCCCTATCGCTTTTATCCAAACGGCTGTCTTTTCCTGCTGTTATTATTTTATTATTGGACTGAGTGAATCAGCATCTCAATTCTTCATTTTTCTCTTACTTGTATTTGTGCACTACTGCGCTATTGGAAGTATGTTTCGGATGTTAGGCTCATGGGCTCCCAGCCTGAGTATATCACATCTTTTGGCCGGATGTGCTCTACCAGTGGCTTGTCTCTACTCTGGATACGCCCCTCCAGTGCCGACAATGCATCGCTGGGGCTCATGGATTCGACGCATCTCACCTACTCCCTATGCCATGGAGGCGCTGATGGGAAATGAATTCTATAATATCGATCTTCACTGCACAGACTCTCAGTTGATCCCCTCGGGCCCTGAGTATGACGATATCCGCTACCAGGCGTGTCCCATGGCAGGCGCACATCAGGGGTCAGCTTTAGTGAACGGTGCAACATACGCACAAGCAATGTATGGCTTTTCTAGGGAACACCTCTGGAGAAACTTTGGTATTGTTCTGGTGATGTGGTTCCTTTACACAGTTATCGGAGCAGTGGGACTTACCGTCATGACGCGGGATAGCAGCAGCGCTGCAGGCCATGTATACAAGCGGAATGCCCAGTATCCTCAGGATGAACAGTTGAATGTGGGTCTGGTAAGCGATGTCGAAAAGCAACCAATATCACCAACGGCGAGAGATGATGGCTGGAAGCGGAATGAGGCAAGCACGTCCGAATTAACTATTACGGATGTCGACGAGGCGGTGCAAGCCGACCAGAAGGAAGACCTTTCACCTAGGAGCGTTACCTTCACGTTCAACAAACTTAGTTATTACGTGAACGTGGGAGGTGGGGAGAAGCAATTGCTTTGCGAGATTTCCGGATACGTCAAACCTGGACAGCTTACTGCGTTGATGGGTGCATCGGGTGCTGGAAAGACCACACTGTTGGACAACCTCTCCCGTAGAAAGACCGACGGACGCGTTGAGGGCGAGATTCTGCTGAATGGTGCTCCCCTAAGTACATCATTTTCACGGTCCTGTGGTTTCTGCATGCAGCAAGACATTCATGAGCCCACCGCGACAGTTCGAGAAGCATTACAATTCTCAGCCTACCTACGCCAGCCGGCTCATATCTCCAAAGAAGAGAAGATGCAATATGTTGAGCACGTTATCGCTCTCCTCGAGCTTGAGGGTATTGCGGATGCATTGATTGGGGCAGTCGGGGATGGTCAATTGAATGTGGAGGAACGGAAACGGGTCACAATTGGCGTTGAACTTGCAGCAAAGCCATCGGCGCTCTTATTCCTTGATGAGGTAAGTTCATCCCTAAAACGATTCAGTTATCATACTCACATATTGCAAAGCCCACATCTGGTCTCGATAGCCAGGCAGCGTATTCGATCGTTTCTTTCCTCCGGAGAATTGCTGCTGAGGGAATCCCAATCGTTTGTACGATCCACCAGCCTTCTGGTGTCCTTTTCGAGATGTTCGATCACGTTATTTTGCTCGCTCCAGGTGGTCGGACAGTGTATTTCGGAGAAACAGGCAAGAATGCATCCGCCGTGGCCGCATACTTTGCGAGGCACGGTGCCGTGATGCACGCAGAGGAGAATCCAGCGGAGTTCATCATTTCCACCATCGCAGCAAAAGGAGACGACAACAAGGACTGGCCTGAGATCTGGAACAGATCCCCTGAGTGCCATGCCTTGCACCAAGCGGTTCAAGCGTTAAACCAACGTTCCCCCGTTAGTGATAACGCCATGACGGCCGTTAATGAACGACCATACGCATTGAGTCTTCCAGCCCAGATTGTGGCCCTTACCCAGCGCCACTGGATCGCCATCTGGAGGAATGGACAATATAACTTTAGCCGGCTATTCAAATCCATCTTCTTTCAGATGTTTGTCTCATTCACCTTCTTCCACGTCAACAAGAGCAGTCCTGGATTGAAAAACCACATGCTGGGTATCTTGCTCTCAACCTGGGTTGTTCCTACGATCTCTGCCGATATGCAGGCCATCTGGTACGAAAAATGGTCGATCTTCGAGGCGCGGGAACGCAATGGGATCTATGACTACAAGGCTCTCTTGTCGGCGTTGTTCCTAGTAGAGATCCCCTGTCAGATTATCATCTTCACGTTTATCTTCATTGTGTCCTACTGGACCTTTGGATTCGCCAGTACTCCCAGTATTGCTGGATTTATCTACTTCATGTATCTCCTGTTTGCTTTCTTCGGCCTTGGATTCACCTATCTCATGGCTGCTTTATTTCCGAACCCGACCATGGCCGGTTATGCGATGTCATTATTTTGGGTCATTCTTCTCATGTTCTCTGGAGCCGCTAATCCGCGCAGTGGGCTGAACGATTTCTATCGCCCCTGGCTATTCTGGGCTGACCCCATGACCTACTTCTTCGAACCGACTGTGTCCACGGTGCTTCATGGGATCCAGGCCCAATGTGCTCCACAGGATATGGCTGTGTTCGATCCTCCTTCAGGCCAAAGCTGTATGGATTATGTAGCAGCATATTTGGATGGAAATCCAGGATACCTGGCTAACCCCAACGCCACGCAGAACTGTAACTTCTGCCCGTATTCAACGGGAGATGACTTAGCCAGATCCCTCCATTTCTTCTACGGGAGTCGGTGGCGGGACTGGGCAGTGTTTCTCGGATTTGGCTTGACAAATACTTTGCTCACTTTCCTGGCGACCTGGATTATTCGCGTCAAGATTCGGCAGTGGAGAAAGTAAGGATCAGCCCGGTGGGTATTCTGGGGTGTCGGAGGCTTGATCTTGTCGTCATCAGCTGGCGAGGAAGTCAGGGATTCAAGATATGTGCTTTTACTACTTCTCGCAATAATTTGAGTATGTATGGAAAAACCAATTATTTGGACTTAGAGAGATTAGTTACAAACCAAGACCGTCTTTGAATAGTAATTCTGTCGAGTGCTATTGAACTAATAATTATATGTAACCTTGCTAGTAGTCTGTACAATAATAATTATATGCACAGTAATACAGTAAGTAGTACAGTACATGGACAAGCTCGGGCGGTGACTGACTGACTGACTAATACGGAGGCCTATAGCGGCCACTCCGCAACAATGGATTCTTATCGATTTCTGCCAGCAGAATTCCCATGATAGCCCTGAGTATTTAGTATTTCTGTACTTATACCTAAGAAACTAGTACAAATACTAAGAAATTTATGTATTTTATACATTTCTCTATAAAGCCTGCCTTTTAAGAATAAAAATTACTAGGAAGTGGCTCTATATTACATGTGTAATGGGTTGTATTGCTAGACGTAGACCTACAGTTAATTTTAATTACTATGTGGCCTCCGAATCTAGGCACTACGGCCCCTAGAATCTACGTACTCTGGCCCCTAAGTCTAGGTATTGAATCCCCTAAACTTTATATATTACGGCCCCTAAATTAAGCTTAGTAAAAAGGCGGTAAGTCAACGGGGATTTTCTTGAGATTCAACTATATATACAGTACATCTGTATTACACTTACATTTTTCTCTTAAGTATTTCTACTTATATATTATTAGAAACTATACGTTTATTTGTAATTTATAAAAAATTGTATATATACTATCTATATTATAAGCCCATTTTATATAATATTCTATATTGAGAGAGATGGCGAACAATATATTACTAGGCGGTAGGTGGACTTAGTGAGGAGAGCCGTTGTTGCGGAGTGGCCGCTATACAGTCCCCACCTAAAGTTTCCGTGTAAAACGCGTCATCCGCGACCACGCGTTTTTCTACCTATTTCTTATTTCTTCAACAAATGGCTCCTAGAACGCCTCTAGGGGTAATAGACCCGAATAGGATAAAGAAATCCGAATTAAGTCCCTATACCAGGGGTTTTATATGTGGTTTAGCTCATACAGGGATTTCTCAAGCCAAAATTGGAGAATCGCTTCAAATTCCCGTGTCAACTGTTCAGTATACCATTGAAAAGAAATCGCTCCGAAACAATGGGAAGTCGATAAATCGAGCAGGCAGGCCTACTGTGCTTGATAAACACGATAAACGCAGAATTCTAGCTATTATACGATCCGATTCTTTTATTACCTACAATGATCTACGCTGTTAAAGTGGGACAACTGTCTCTAACTCTACCTTTCTTAGACTGTTTAAGGCTTCAGGATATGGCCACTGGCGCGCTCAAAAAAGGCCTAAATTGAAAGAAGAGCATGCTAAGAAGTGTTTGGAATGGGCGTTGGCCCACCGCAACTGGAGTATTGAGCAGTGGCGCAATGTTATCTGGTCAGACGAATGCTCGGTTGAATTAGGAAAGGAAAAGCGTCAGAAATAGTGCTTTAGACTGAATCGATTAGGGGAGAAATAGAAAAAGGAGTATATTATCCCGTACAGCAAGTCGAAAGGTCTATCCATTATGATCTGAGGAGCGTTTTGGGGTAGTTCTCGCTCAGATATCAATATAATGGCGTGTGATCCTGACTCCCAACGACGTGGCTACTCTGTAGAGAGCTATATCAAGATTCTGGAGGATAATCTCTATTCTATATGGGAACCTGGCTTAGAATTCATGTACGACAACGCTCCTATACATACAGCCAATAAGGTTAAACGTTGGTTCCAGGATATAGGAATTTCTACTATCTATTGGCCGCCTTACTCGCCTGATCTTAACCCTATTGAACACGCCTGGTCAAAGCTGAAAGAAATGATATATCAGCTTGATCCTGAGATAGAGGCATTTAAAGGCACCGAAGAAGCTTTAAAAGCGCGTTTTAGCGCTTTAATAGAGCGCGCGTGGAATGAGATATCTGAGGATTTTTTTAATAGATTGATAGAGTCTATGTCTAGGCGTGTTGAGGCAGTTATCCAGGCAAAGGGTTGGTATACTAAGTATTAGTCAGCAAAAATATTGATTAATTTAAAAATTTATTATTTTTCTATACATATTTAAATTTACTAGTAAATTTCTAATAAAACAGAAGAATGGTGGGGGTTTTAGAAAACTAGGTCAGTTTAATAATTTGGGCGGGAAAGGCGCCATACACGGAAACTTTTGCCGTAGAACTGTAGGTCTCTGTCGACTAATAAATTAAGGCTCGGATGCCTCGGAACGGAGCCGTGATCCGAAGCCGTTGTTTCTTCTGGTAGGCATGAGGAGCTTCTCCCCGCAACCTCACAGAGGCCACCTGATTCTCGATGGTGTTATTGTTAGAACCAATTCGTTGTTGACACTATACTTCGGAAAGGAATGAGTGCCACTCTAATAGCTGGCTTGCCCACGCAACGAAATCTGCCGATTTCCCGGATTTCTCGGGCCTGTGAAACATGTCGTGCGCGGAAAGTCCGCTGTAACGGTGAAAGCCCCTGTGCCAGATGCCGTAGGGCTAATCGCCATTGTGAGTACCGTTCACCAAGGTCAGAGATACGATCAACCCGCAAACCATTGAGAACCCATAATACGTCCCGTCCAAGACCATCAGGTGTGCTGCCGTCCACAGCCCCGGTCCACTTCAAAAGGCAACGAGAGTTGCGAGCAGGCATCGGAGTATCAAATGTCGACACTGGCTCATTCCAGTATTACGGTAAGCAAGATCTAGGCGGCCCCTTGCGTTGTTCGTTTCTTTCTTCGTCGTTTCTGCTCTCGGTCAACCACATCCATCAATCAACTCACACCAGCCTCAGGTCCTTCGTCCCACTTCTGCTTCATTCAACGCATGTACCATCGTATTCAGCAAAAGACTGATACATCCCTTCTGACCCCAACTAATTCTGTTCCCGATGGCGTCAGGAATTGGAACTTGGAGCGATTTATGTTCTCCGTCGGTGTAGACAGCGACAGCAATCCTTCTCAATGTCCAACGGAGTCGTATTTCCCCCGAGACTTAGGTCAATCATTTATCGATTCCTACTTTCGTATCATTCATCCGCAGGCGCCCGTTCTTGTGTATTCGGATGTAGTAAAGTTGTGGGATAACCTCTGGAACCCACCGTGGGAACGGCGCGATACCAAGGGAGACGAAATACTTTTTATGGTACTTGCCATTGGAGCACGAGTATACAGCTTTGAGGGGAAACAAAACACTCGCTCATCGGAAGGCTGGGCACAGCACTTTGTAGACAAAGCAAAACGTCTGAATGATGCATTCGAAGATATTAGCATGTCCTCTACGCACTTCATGCTCCTCAAAGTAAGTTTCTTTTCCTTCTCATGCCATTCTTGCTGTCCTTGTTTCGTCGGGACACTCTGCTGACTGTTGTCGGTTCAGGCAATATACGCCTTCCAGGTCATGAGGCCCAACGAAGCGTATCTGTATCTCGGACATGCTGCTCGGATCGCGATGGCTCTTGGTATTAACCGATTGCAAGTCGTTGATGGAATCAATGCTAAAGCACATCGACTAAGGCTAACATTTTGGACTATATACGCCTACGAGCGCTCATGTGCTCTATTTACCGGGCGTCCATCCGCATTTCGTGACGAGCTTAACGACATACCTTATGTAGAAGACTTTCCGGTGTCAGACACACTCGAAATGCCACCCGCGAGCGTGACTCACCTGAAGCCGTCTACGGATTGTGGGTTTATTCGAGCGATAGCTAAACTTGCCGCGATCGCAGATCGAATACTCGTTGAAATTTACTCACCCACCCACATTCCCTCCTTTTCCAGTGCCATGAAAATCCACAACGACATAAGGCAGTACGAACTAGAGTTAGAGGCAATAAATCACGACCTCCCAGCACATTTACATTATTTTGACGAGGACCTCCCCCTTGGGGACAGTTGGCAGGAGATCCAGAGGATGGCATTAGGAAATCAGTTTTATTTCACGCGGATGCTGATCTATAGACCCGCTTTGGTCTTTACAACTTTCCTTAACTCGCAACACAAGGGCCAGGGACATGTGACAAAGGATCCACAGTTATGTGACTCCATTAATGAGGCAATATCCTCGGCCCAGAGTATCGTTCAGCTCAACCACGATGTATATTTCCAACGCTACCCGGAGGCTAGGTTTGACGGTTCCTCAGCCAGCCTTCTAATCTCTGCATGCGTGACCCTCCTCTATGATGTGCTTGACCCAATGACGACGTCGGATAACGCACGAAAGATATTTGCCAGTGTCGAGCGTGCGATCAAATGTCTCGACCAAATCAACCATATCGGTCCGATCAGTGGGAAGGCCCTCAGCCTAGACGTCATGAAAATCGCCAAGGACAGCTTGCAGTCGACTCGAGAAGATGGTGCTTTTAGTGACGACATATTGAGCTCATTCCCATGGCTACAGTACGTTTGTGAACGCTATTTTTCCACTTTTCCCTTTATTTTGCTTTTGACATACTTCTCATGATGATACTAAGTACTTCACAGATATGGCAACTATGCCCCTCACGAAAACGATCTTGACTCGGGGCCCGTAGCTGACACTCTTCCGCAAGGAGAGCAACCAGCAGTATCAGCGAATAACACTCCTGCGATGGCCGCTTCGATTGATGCATATAATTTTCCTCTCGTCCCGGCTCCCGAAGTCCATTACATGCCCCACTGGCTGGAAGCTGGCTTTGATCCGGAAGACGTCCCCCATTGCTTATACTAGCATCTTCTTGAGTGTTTGTTGCCCTTCGTGCTCCCTTCACCTTCTGGTGGAGTATCTCTCTGGCCGATTCCGGGGCGATACGTTACCATCAGGACCCTAGGGCAGGGTACAGACATCATCAGCGACCATGCAGACCAACATTTTGAACGTGCATTTCTTTAGATGGCACATAGATAACTTGTTTAATATTTTTATATACGCCGGCAGAAATTACACGGTCGCTAAATAGACTTTATCGTAATTCACCCGGCCATCCTCACCCAATTGAATTTAAAATCCTAGTATGTTAAGGATATGAGTATTACAATATATTGCAGCACACCCTACCACCCGTAAGCTCGAGTTATCATACTTTCCAATGATACAGGCAGTGAGGACAGCTAAACGGGAAGTTGCTCTCCGATTTCCGAGACTCGGGCTCAAACTCTGGCTACTTCGGATGTGGGTGTTCGGACCGAATGTACGTATCCGAGGATTTCTAGATTACTAAATAGGTTTTCGGACCAGAGTCGATTCGCTTACTAAATCAGTCTGCAAGCTGCCCTCATATGAATCTTCTCGGAAAGCTTGTCGCCAGTTTACCGAAAGATCTTAATAATAGTATTAAATATATCCCACCCGTTATCCCACCGGCACAGCTACCAAACATTAATGGTTTATAAGTCCTTTTAAACCAGGCAAATATAGCATATATTTAATTTAGTTACTCTTGTAGTACTAGAAGTATATATACCTGAAGAGGAATCATTATCTCTTCCGGTTAAATTCACACAGCCATCTATCTATCCTGCACGCCTTCACCAGATACTCGTCTCTCTCACTCCTCACATCACACCACATACCCATATCCAGAATCCACGCAAAAGATCATTTACTCACTCAAACATGCCCTTCGCCCCAACCACCGACAACCAGGAAATCTACTACGAGATCCAAGGCCAACCCGGGCCGGGACCTACCCTAGTCTTCGTCTCCGGCTATATGGGCATAACCAACATCTGGCATCCATTAATCTCCAGCCTTCACTCTCGCCATCAGTGCATCGCCTATGACAGACGGGGATACGGAAGATCCTCCAAGCCCGAATCACCGGACAGCTACACCATCTCTGGACACGCATCTGATCTGCACGCCGTGCTGCAAGCTGCGAATATTACACACCCCGTCGTCCTCATCACACACTCAATGGGCGGAAACATCGCATCAGCATACTACCTCGCGCACCAAGATACTGTTGCCGGGATTATTTACACGGGGACCTACTATGACGGCAAGATCGTCAATGAGGGTTTTCTGACCTATGATGCGATCACGGATGGTGTCGAGAGTCCGTCTCGGTCGGTGGAGTTTTATTCCGCCATGGGATTGAGGGAAGATATCGCGCTTGAGGCGGCGAAGTGGGCCCCGCATGGTAGGAGAAATAATGCGAAGGCGTTGCTCCAATTTGGCATGCAAGGTAATTATGCTCGCATAACTGTCCCTACGCTTATTGTTCAGGGGGAATTTGATCTGCTGCCGTTGGAGCAGTGTGTTATGCCCATGGTAAGGGAGTTACCGTCTTGTCGGTTGGAGGTTTTGGCCGGTGTGTATCATTTTCCGGCGACTGAGGCGCTGGAGAGGGTGGAGGGGTTGGTTGATGGGTTTGTGGAGAGTTTGTGAGTGGGTTTAGAAACGGTCAGTGGATGAGAGGCAGACACTGCGATTCGGTACATACATGGTAGCCTCAACCTGTATAGATAGGCTGTTATGTTTAGTGAATTTCAGAGTGCCCAGTGATGTTTAATCCAGACCGCGAATGGACTCGCTGTTCTAGGTCCTACAACTGCCCCTTTACCAATGATATTTGAGACTTTATTTGATGACCCAGTATGTATAGATCATGTAGAATTGGTACTGGTGAAGTACAAAACCCAGCTATTCAACAACTAGTGGCCGACACTTTGGTACCTTTCAGGACGGCGTAATAACCGTAGCACTTCTAAGGACACCTAATCCTCTGACAGTGATATCGAACTATTCTATTTGCCCTTAACACTAAGCAATGACTGAAAGTGAACAGTCCCGTGAGAAATGATCCCAAATTTAGAGCAGTGTTATCATAATGATACCATATAGAAGCGGCGTCCGGCCCGCTCACGTGCTCAACTCCGTAAACGTTGGAAGTTTCAAGGATAAGAAGCCCATTTCGGGTCATAATAAGCAGCACAGTTCCTAATTCTCATCGGTAGAAGCTCCGATATCTAACCGGTAAAGAAACCGAGAAACCTGGCGACATCCTTAGGCAGGGCCGCAGGAACCGTGAACCGTGAACCGTGAACCGGTATTCTCGGACCTGGCTGATACTAGGTACCTTCCAAGCCAGATATGAACCACAGCGCAATCAGTTGTACGATTCATACCGATCTTATGATCGGTGGGTCATGACTTGAGTTCAAGGGGAATGTCACCGGCAGCGGTTAACTATGTCCGGTTCTCTGGGGATATATAAACCTGTCTAGTACAGGAGGGAGATGAAGTCGAGTATCTTATACAAGCAAGTTCCTCTCTTATCATAGGTTTACGTATAAATCGCCCGTCTTCTTCTTATAATCTTATGCCCAGAAGCCGTGCTCTATATATGATGGCCTCCGTATTGAAGAATTTCCTGGGTTTCCAAGCAGCCACAAATGACAGCAACGTATGCCCAGTGTCTCCGGAGAAGACTCCAGTAAGAGCTCTTCCGGCTATATGGTACACATCGCCAGAGCTCTATGAGCTCGAACGACGGGCAATTTTCTCTAAGAAATGGTTACTCACCACGCACATACTACGATTCCCCAATACTGGTAGTTGGTCTCGATACAATAACGCGGGATACCCTTTCATTCTCGTCCGAGGCCAAGGTCAAGACATAAAGGCATTCCATGATATCTGGTCGGATGCGTTTAGCGACGAAATCGTGCAGACTCTAGTCTCCGAGGACACGAAAATCAGATCTTTCCACGTCCACCTGGATGCAAATGGCTTTATCTGGATAAACATGGATGCTGGCAAGCGGCCTGAAATTTCGTGGGAGAAAGATTTCAAAGGCATCGACGAGCAGCCTCGATTCAAGGATTTCAACTTCGAGGACTACGTGTTTGACCACGCTTGGGAGATGGATGGTCCGTATAACTGGAAGATTCTTGCGGATAATTATAATGAGTAAAGTCCCCTTATATACTATTCTTCTGTGTCTGTCTACTGGCGGTCCCACTACGTTGCTGGCGTCCAGGCCTGTTTTCTGCACCCAGGGAAGATTTTCAAACTGACTGAGTTGGATAGGTGTTATCACTGTCAGACAGCGCATCCTGATGTGCCATCGTTGGCCGATCTCGAAGCCTATGCGGTTGACACAGTGGACGGATCTATCATTCACTTTGCCAACGCCAAGCCAGACCAAGTTGAACGGGGACTGAAGATTGCCAGCACATACTATTTTCCAAATTCGTCAATGACAGTAACGTCAGTGCTCATCAAGCTACATACCGAGTCCTGTTATTAACCAAGTGATGTCTAAACAGGCCGCATTTCTTCTTCATGCAACGATTTGTTCCCACCTCACCCACCAACTGCGAGATGCGCTACGAAGTGTACCGGAATAAGAACTCCAGCGAAGAGGATTTCCAATTGATCAATGGGATGTACAAACGAATCATGGCGGAGGACAAATATCTCTGTACCGAGGCACAGAAGAACATCGGCAGGGGTGTCTTTGTTAGTGGTCTGCTGCACCCCCGAATGGAGAAAGGGCCATTATACTTCCAAGGCGTTGTGCGTGACCTTTTGTACGAGCATTTTGATCGTGAGAAGGATGCAGGAAAGCAGATTTGGCCAGCTCAACTCGATAACTTCTTGCCCTTGAGCTAAGAGACTATAAGAGCTCTGCCGGCGAATAGCTCGGGCTTCATGTGACCCATGTCTATCGATATCTATTCCTTTTGTTCAGACCTTTTTAACAGAGTAGTATCTTTAACTATAAGCTAGCAATCAGTACTCTGATAGCATTATACTTCAGACTCTTGTCCAAAAAGGATTTTGTTGAGCTATACGGATTACAGTAGCAGAAGTTTGGATGAGTGATAGGTTAGTAGTGCACTGGGGGAGCCTGGGGAGGGGTGTAGCTACTGAGACAATCTAGATGAATCATGAAATAGACAGACATCCGCGGTCTGCTCGTGTTTCCAAACTCGTGAGGAGTATATTCTCCAGATAAGGTAGTCTGACCCCGACCGGTCATGTGGTCGGCATTTCCCACCAAAACGGTTAGACCAGCTGGACACCAAGTTCAGGAAAGATTTGCCATGGCAGGGCTTCGCGACCTGTTCTGGGAGGGTCTAGAATCACTAGGGACGATGAAGCTGCCAGTTTCGACGACAATCCTATAGATTTCTGAACAGTGATGTTGCTTTCCCTCCACGGGAAGAATGGTCAGATGGCGGATGAAACGGTTGGATGGCTAGTTATACCAGCAGATAATTGATGCGTAGGGAAGCCTACCCAATCTCTCGAAGTTGCGACAAGTCTTCTATTGGCTGCCGGGCACATGAATTAGAATCGCTGTGGCATGGAAATATAAAAGTATTTTTAAAAATTGCCAAAATCCCACCAGGTAGAAAATCCCTCACCAACTGCAGGGTCTGGCTCGAAGCCGGCCGCAACGTCCATATCGCCAAATTGGGAAAGATGTGCCCATAGCCACGGAGTGTTGAACATGAGACTATCCGCCGGTGGAACCAGAATGTCTCGCATAGGAGTGCCGTTACGAGAATCTTGTGTTGAAGATACAGTGATCATATAGGGCGGTAGGCTCGCATTGTGCCCTACGGCAGGGTCAACCATTACTTGTGGCGGCGACGCTGTAACGCTGATCTCAAGGGTCTGGCTTTGCTCCGTTTCCTCACTACATGGGGTGGAAGCAAGGGAAGAGTGTAGTAAGGCGGCCGATTTGGAAGACACGCCGTGGGAGGATGGGACATTAAACTGTAGAATACCCCACATCAAAGGGATGCTGAGATAGATTTTGGATGGTGCCCAGTCGTCGTCCAAGCGATCTGATCCAGATGCGATTTGTGTCATTTTGTCCAGTGATTGAAGCTAAGCTATTAGCATAGATATTGGTCTCTGCCAAGTTTAAGAAAAAAACATACCAGGGCTTCACAGGCAGGGGAAAACCATGCAAAACTCTTCAAGAATGTTTTGCATTTCACAAAGTCTGTTTTGGACTTTTGTTTCAGTCGAGGATCAGCCGCGCAGCAAAAGTAGAGATGCACTGTAGCTGCAATTGCGGCCGAATGCCCATAAAAGGGATCAGCAAGCCGGATCTGCTTCTCCAGAATCATGTCAATCATACGAACAATCCACGTGGCATGTAGTAGGACTAGCTCAGAGGACTTCCTCCAGAAGGTGTTTGGAATTGCCAGGTTAGGCTGATGCTGTGACGCCACAATGTAGAGAAATGGGTGATTTAGCACAATCAAGCTCGCATGCCAGGTGAACTGTAATTTTATCCACGGTATCCAGTAGTCTCTGTTGAGACTGATCTCATCGGCCCGACGCTCATAGAACTTTGCTGAATCGTATCGATGGCACCAGGGAACCTGGTTTTCGATTTCTGTCATATCGGCAAGCACTTTGGCATACATTGAATCGAGACGCCAGGGTTCTGTCATCTTATTTTGAAAGCATTCAGAAACATACTCTCTGACTCTACTCCAAACCCATCCAAAATATGCTGCATAACTCCAGATTCCGATGTCTGAGGCGGACGACCCAACATCGCGGGGAAATGCTGAGTCTCCACTCGTTGAAACATAGAATGGACGCCAAACCTCAGGCGCTGTGCCAAGAATACCTTCTGATTCAGAGAAAAACTGCTCCAAAGATTGAAGGCTCCAAAGAAGTCTCTTTTTGCGCTCGGCGGCGGGAGGGCTTTCGGCTACAGATGTCAACCCGCGATCTATCCTGGCAGACCGACAAAGCTGAAAGCCAAGACCAAGGTAAAATTGGCCCAGACACCAATCCCTATCTTTCTCGGTATTAGCATCTGCAACTTGACAGGGGCGTGCAGATCCATACCTATAAAAGCTGAGTATGAAAGTAAACAGAGACATTCAATGGTTTCGAGCTCTACTGTTCCATTTGCAATTCGAAGCATAATAGAGCATCTAGCGCTGTCGCCATAGCCTGACTGGTCACGTTGTCGTGAAAACCGCGACGTAAGTTCCAGGATGCTATAAGCAACCTCTAAAGGAATTTTAGAGTAGTTCTCAATATCTTCGCGATCGAAGCACCATATAGGCTGTCTATGGAAGAGTTCAAAGTAAAGGTCGATCGCTTTGACGATGGTGGATTGAGGAATTTCTAGATTTGCTTGTTGAAACTCGACTGGGCGCACTTCTGTCCTGACATAGCTTGGACCGGGTGGTGATCGGTAACTGTTTGTTTGATCAGAGTGAAGCGTGGTCTCATTCGGCCTGTCCTTTAGCGGCGCCTTAGAGAGGGCCTCGGATGGTTCGACGAAGGTTTTCGGCGCATCTTGATCGAGCTGCTCAGGAGAACCTCGCCGCTCGCCGCCATTTAAAATTAGGTCAATCTTTTTTTCCAGGTGTGCCAATCGGTCCTGTTCGGGAGTCAATGAGAATTTCCTTACAACATGGGATTTCTCCATACAGATTGGTGCGTTGACGCTGCTATATAGGTACATGACTGTTTAAGCCGGACACAGTTTGAGCAGGCCGGCTTTTCACCAGGACATCGGGTCTTCTTCCTTCTGTTAGATGTGAGATTCCAAAATCGGAGTGAGGAACAAAGGTTATAGGTGGAAAGGTAAGACCGACCTACAATTGAGGCAGGCGTGTCGGGTACGCAGCCTCTCGCGGTTGGGATCCGCTGGCATGCCGATCACGGATAGGCTAATAGAAGAAAACTGTAATTCCACGTCGTTTTTCCCAACGGAAATCAAAATAAATGCACCTAGGACCAAGGGATTTGACTTTGAAGACCGCTGCTGTGGGGTGGTAAGTGGCGGGGTCTTTCAAGGAATATGGATGTATCACGAAATACGACGTGAAGCTGCGGGAAACAAGGGTTACCGGAAGCTAGAGCCACTCAAGCACTATAGAGATGAAGTCAAAGGTGCACTGTGGGAGGTTACTGGAGCTTTTCCAGACTTCTAGTGCAAGTGCAGGATGTAGAATTGGGGTCGAGAGCGGGGAAATGAGGGGTAAACAAAAATCACTCCATCTTAACTATCTTTGCTTATATAATTTTGTCCATATCTTGTCATCTTTTTTAAAAGCTGGACCGTCTCCAAAAAAAAAAAAAAATTGTATTCAATGTAGCCTGTTCTATATTCACAACCCTAGAGTCGACTAGTATATATCTCCGCAGAACATTTTAATCCTGGTAAGTACTATGGGTCAGAGAACCTAGCTTGTATCTCATATCTTCATAGATATATTCATACTTTTCAAGGTGATTACCTCGTATATTCAGTTGTCAGCTGGTCCGATTCTCACCAAAAGATGACAATTGTGAAGGTAGGGACGAAGGTGTTACGTGTATTAATATTACCACTATTAACTCTAGAGTCTAGACACCCTAAGCCATCCTTTTATTATGGATATCCACTTAATTTCATAAGAAACTATAAATATATTCGTAATTTATATAAACTGTCTCTACAATATCTATATGTTATCTCCCTTTAAGTGATCTAATAGAGTATATAAGGAATAAATCCGTAGAATACTAGGTGAGGAGAGCCCAAGACCATGGTCAAGAAACTCTCACGGATACTCTTCCTGCAGGGAAGAACTGATTTCCAATGCACATGGTAGGGAAATCAATTATGTAATGGTGGGAAGACTCATCTTCGACATTATGAGACGCAAGGTCGTTTGGGGTTTGTGGGCAGAAGCATCTATGGAGATCGTACAGTGTATTGAGTACATACTAGCACCAACTACTACAACCAGCGCTAATTTGCAGGGGTGCGCGTGATGTTCGTTTCCTCTCCATCCACTAGCCTTTGAATGGCCTTTTGCGGTTTGCTCTGTTTTTCCAGCTGCGCCTCTGAACATCGTCATCGTCTTTCTGACTTTAACCGATATGCATGTACATGTTGGGCATAACATCAACATCGTCCGAAATTGCGTGGCTGAAATAGACCCACTAGCCTTCAAGTCCGTTCAAGTCCGTCCAAGTCGAAAGGATGCTAGATCCCTCCCGCCTACCACCTGAACTATTTGCCATAATCATAGACTACGCAACTGACGGAACATGCGACTTTGCGGCTCTCTGCAACTTTGCCCTCGTCTCTCATCAGTGGTATGCTTCTCTGGATGCTAGAATCTACTCGAGATGGTTATATGATGGCAAACATCATTCGATTTCGTCTTTGTGGAAATTTCTTCGCACTGTACTCCGCAATAGACGTATTCTCCTGCAGCCCAGACCGATATCTAAGATTAGGTGAGATACAATAGTTACTACCAAGTGATAATATATACACCAATTCTTACTTCTCTCTGAGCAATATCCATACAAAGCGCGCAACAGCTTGATATTATTTATCTGTACTTGCCCAGCCTTATGATCTCTCAACCGTGCATACCGGCCGGTCAGAAGCTGGAAAGGTAACTATCAACGTATCCCGACTGTTATATGTTCATTTTATTATTCTATCATTTTTAGAGACCAATTTCTGTTAGCTTATATGCGAGGTGGTATAGTTCACGCTTTGGGGAGGACGGAGAATATGTGATGATCCCCACCAACGCCCGGTGGCGTGTTTTTTATCTTATACCGGACGCACTGGTTACAATTACCAAAGGAGTGAAACGAAATGAATAAGTGCAACTTAAATTGAATACACTTAAAGTTACGTGCTTATAAAGAGACCTCTTCAGAATTGTAATTTTATAGTCAGTCCTAGTGGATAGTAGATGTTGAATAAAAACATCCATTAGACTACCTAAAAATGTCCGGTCACTCAAAGTGTCTTTATAGGGTAATTTATAGTGCGATTTCTAGGTTGGTAGGAGGTATACCCCGTACTAGACAAGGTGAATAAATGGCAGGATTGGGCAAATAGCCTCGACGGCTTGGCAGGGCAAACGGCTGGAAGCTCGTAGCTTTGAAGAACACCCTCAGCGACCAAATGAAATATAACAGGGCCAAAACAATCAAGGCAGCCGAACAAAGAAGGTAAAGCTTTGGTACCATTGCCCTGGATTTTCAATTTAGGGGTATGGGTCTCAGCCTCTGGGCCTACCTGTCGTCTTAAGGAATTTTTATTTTCCTAAGGTGCCC